GAAAAAAGACAAAAAGACAAAAAAAAATTAATTTTTTCCAGAATTTCTCAAGATCCCTAAAGTGCCACAAACCAAAACTGTGGATCATAATATAATTATGAGTGAATGCAAAATGAGTGTTTGCTGTATTAGTCTCTGTGCTTTTTCTTAGTTTGAAATAGTTCACTCTTTTAATATGGCCTTTTAATTGACTTAATGCAGTACTTTGCATGTAACATGAGGATACTTCAAAAAGTTTGTGAAGGGCCGACCGTGTGGCGCATTCGGGAGAGTGCAGCGCTGGGAGCGCAGCACTCTGGCCACGGGTTCGGATCCTATATAGGGATGGCTGATGCGCTCACTGGCTGGCTGAGCGCGGTGTGGGCGACACCAAGCCAAGGAATGCAATCCCCTTACCGGTCACAAAAAGGACAAAAAAAAAAAAAAAAAGTTTGTGAAAAATTGAACTAAAAGATATAATGCAAATCCTTCCATGAACTTTTTGAAGACTCCTGGTAGGTCCCCCAAAAGTAAGCCTCCATTTTTTTGAAAGGAGTAAGATTGAGTGAATGAATATAAATCCTCATCAAATTCTCTTTAATATATTTGAGATAGGTTGAGATAAGCAACTGAAGCACCTCATTAATAACAACTTGATTAATGAAGCCCCTATTTTTCTTATGCTTAAGTAATAGTAAAGTCTCTAAGAGGAGATAGCACGAGAATATAAACAAGTATTTGTTTTAATGTACTGCTACATGACTCGAATGTCCTATATAATCCCAAGATTTTGAATTGTTAAAATCAAGTTTGATGTGAAAGTTTACCTTTTAGAAATTCCCTCAAAATGAAGGATTTTAAAATAGAATGTCAAGCAGGTACCCAATGAGAGCATGCAAACTGGCATCAGGAACAATACCTTGGGCTGCAGCATCAGGGTGGTATTCAGGCTCTTCCTCCGGGGGACTCTGCAGGAAGTAGAGCTGGTCGGGCAGCATGTTGGCAATCTTCTCCTTTCCTAAGACGTGGGTACTCAGAAGCGGGCTGACACTCCGTTTCACTTTCTCTCTCCTTTCATGGGCCATAATTTTTTTGGTCCGAGCCTTGATGTTCTCCCAGCACTTCTTCAGCTGCTTGAAATCCCGCAGTGATACGCTGGGCTGAGAGTTGTATTCATGGGCGAGTGCTTGCCAGGTACGTTGCTTAAGGGCAATAGTTCGCGCATCGCTTTTCTTACATTCCAGCACATATTTGTACTTTTCTACTAAAGCAAGCAAGATGCTCTTTTCCAATTCTGAGAAGTATTTGGCAGGTTTTATAATTTCGTTGTTTTGCATTTTCCACTATATTTCTCCTGGCCGTTAGCTATCCTATAAAAGGAAGTTTGAAACAATAATTACCAACTCCAGCAATACAAATGGTGGCAAATGGCTTAAACTTAATCCTTGACTTGACTCCCTTGTCTGAAATACAGTATGGTTCTTTTCCATTAGTGAGGGATTATGATAGTCTCAGGAAAATATTCAGAAATTTGCCAGGAATGGAGTTTTACTTCAAAGTATATTTCCCAGGAGGTCCTTTTTCTTGGCCATACTGTGAATATCTGGTATACGAGAGTACTTCAAAGTTTGTGGAAAATAGAAATGAAAGATAATACAAATCTTTCCATGAACTTTCTGAAGTACTCTCATCTAACAGCCAGAAAAGAAAAGTTGAACATCTATGTGGAACTCTAATTTCTGAATTTATTTCTGCTTTAACATTAGAGAACTGATTACTCCCCAAAATCATCATGTCAGCCAGCTCTGGAACTACACAGCTTTCTCAAACTTTTGTTTGACCAGAGAAGCCACTGTGAAATCAAATATAACAGATGATGGAACCGTTATCAAGGTCTCAGAATCATCAAGAAATGACTCCACATCCAACATTTCCATCACCGTCTGTGACCTTGGATAGGTCATGCTCCTGGAGTAACATTAGTTAGTTGCTTCATCTTTAAAATGACGGATTGGAGTTTGTAATTCCTCAAGGCTGAGGGCCACTTTTAAAAGTACACAATCCTGTGTATATAATTTCAGAAGTGAAAGGGCCTGGGTGCTTAGACATTGCGTCCAATACCCCTCATTACAATTGAGGAAACTAAGGGCTTGATAGAGTTTGGATATGTTGACCCCCAAAAGCTCATATCAAAATCTGATCTCTAATATGGCACTGTTGGGAGCTGTTGGGGTCATGGAGGGGCAGATACCTCATGAATAGATTAATGCCTTCCCTTGGGGGTGGGGTGTAGTGAGTGAGTTCTCACTCTATTGGTTCCTACAACAGCTAGCGGTTTAAAAGAGCCTGGCACCTCCCCTCCCTCTCTCTTGCTTCCTCTTGCCATGTGATATTGTACCCACCAGCTGCCTGCTATTTTTCACAATGAGTAGAAGCAGCCTGAGGCCCATGCCAGATGCAGCTGTCCCAGAATCACGAGTCAAATAAACCTCTTCTCTTTATAAATTACCAATTTCAGGTACTCTTTTAGAGCAACACAAAAACTGACTAACACAGGGCTAGAAAGATGAAATGGAATGCCCAAGATCACAAAGATGGCAACTTGGAAAATCCAGAACCTGGACTGCCCTCATAGTGTGGTATTTTTAGTATCATTCCACAGCTATCTCTTGGGCTCTCATCCAGTAATTGGTGACTCCAAATTATTCAACCACAACTCCCTTAAGTCACCTTGCCATCCTCCACAGTGCTCAGTCAGCATCTTTCACACAACAGGTGCTTAATGGAGATGTCTGTTCCACTGAAGTGTATGAAATCTATGTACGTTTTGGGACCCCGCATATTTTAATCACAGGAAGCTTCTTATAAAATTAATCTCTCAAATATATGGGAAAAATGTAGCTAAGCAACACTGACTGCAGCAATAAATTACAGGATCATGTTGTTGAAAAGGGCCAGCACATGCCCAGTTCTTTATGTTCTCCAAGCCTCTGATTTTTCAGAGTAACAGGCATGCATCACAATCCTGATGACATACTCCATTTAAAACTGACCAAACCCTATCAAAAGAATTAGGGACCACCAGCCAAAAATGGGACATTTGAATATCAAGGGCAATTGGTACACACAGATTCATTTAGCTATTTTCTCTATCTTTGTGTATGTTTGCAAATTTCCACAATAAAAAGTTGGGGAGGGGGGAAGGCTGTGGCTTTCAAATTTATGGTACACTAATTTATTTTATTTTATTTATTTATTTTTTGCAGCTGGCTGGTACAGGGATCTGAACCTGTGACCTTGGTGTTATAAGTCTGCATTCTAACCAACTAAGCTAACCGGCTAGCCCTAATGGATACTAATTTAAAATTACACTATTATAACCCAGCTATTCACACACTATGCCTGGGGAAGGATTACTGTACTGTGAATGGCTGAAATCTGTTAGACTGAGGCTGGAAGGGACTGGGCCAGATCAGAGAGCCTTGAAATTGAGGTCAAGGAGTGTGGGCTTCACATGAGGGTCATAGACCTGATCAGGGTTTCCCACTACCTCATCCCAAAAGTTAAGGTTAGAATGAAGTACTAGTGTGAATGGTGTCTCCACATGCTAGGGACACTACTTCACATTCATACTGGGCACATCAGGTATCAGAGATTGAGAGATTTAGACACATGTTAAAGGTGGTCTGGGCCTCAGATCATGAGCAAAGCTAGATGAGAGGACATTTATCTTTGGGGATGCCTAAATTCCCAGGCCTGTGCTTTGATCATGTAGCTCTAATATCTCTACAATGATACCCAATCCAGACCCCTTCTTCCCTAAAGGTCCTAAATTAACCTTTCACTTTCATCAATACTTCTATTCCCTATAAATCAATGTTCCCCAAAACAAAATTTATTAACACACACCCTGTACAATGTATCTCTTCTGCATTATCTCTATTTGCTAAGATGTCTATGTCCAACTTTACTTTCTGTAGTTTTTATTAAGATATCAATAAGTACACTGAATGTTCTTAAACTACACAGCTCCAAGAGCATATTCCGATCCAATTCTCCCACCCCAACTCCTCTGCCCCAGGAGATGTCATTATGCCTACTTTCCGCATGTCTCCACTCTTTAAGAATCACAAATGAGGGCCGAGACTACTCCCTATTTTGTTCTATTGTATGTAATGCTACTTTATATATACATTTTTATGTGTGTATATATGTGCATATATACACAACATATACTTTCTAAATAAATCTTTTTTTCTATCTTGATTATTTCTTCAAGAGAAATTCCTAGAAAAGAAATGGTTGCCACAAAAGATGGAAACACTTAAGACTTCTGTTACATCACTAACTTGTCCTTGTAAAATAGTGTGCCAATTCACATTTCTATTAATAGCACATGAGCATGTTCACTTACTCTTGCTGTGAACATTTTTATTCTATGCCAACATGGAAATGAAAAATGTAACTTCATCGTTTAATGACATGAATTCCAGCTCTCAGGCAAATAAGCCACACTCTGACTGAAGTCCCTGTGATATTTAGTGGGACTGAAATTACATAGAATTACTTCCAAGCAATTTAACAGTTAGTTCTTCCTCACAATGTGCAGTACTTCTAGCTGCCACCAGGTGGTGGTGGACGTATGGGGAGTATAAATTTCACAAAGGACCTTGCCCTAAGCGTGGCCAGTCGAGTCTCAAAGTAATAATAGCAATAATAGAGCAGCAGGTAACTTTTATTGAGTCCTCACTGTGGGTTAGACACTATACCAGATGCTTAATATGTACTATATCATTTAATCCGCTCAAAAAATAGCCCGAGAGCATCATCTGTTACACTTCAATATTTTCTGTTAAAAAAACAAAACGTACTAAAATATCAGGAGAAATGATACAACTGCTCTTAAAAGCAAATACTCAGAATTACTAACACTTGGGGACCATTAATAGCCTATTAACTAAACTGTTATTTAATCACTAGCTAAGTAAATCCAGAGTTACCAATTTCCTTTGCTTAATTTCGTAGAACAGCAGGCCTCCTTGGGCCTTGTATTTGCATTCTTCAGAGATATAAAGGGTTTCTGATAAAAGTCAATATACCCCAAAGGTTCCCTATGGATTCGCAACAGCTTTATGAAGTAGGCTGTTTATCTCTGTTAACCAATTATCATTCCTATTTCCCAAATAAGAAAACTAAGGCTCAGTAACTTGTAACTTGCCATGGTCACACAAATAGTAACAAAACCAACATTAAAACACACATCTGGCTCCAATGCCCATGCTCCTGTCTGCTCAGCTCCCTTCTCTTAGACCTAGTGACAGGCTCTACTCTGATGCTCTAATTACATCAATTAGCAATCTAATTGTCACCAAGGAAAGGCCCTAGGTTAGGGCAACTTAGGTAGAGCCGGGCCTGCTTTGTCCATCTCCAACTGATGGCTTCCCCTCCCACTCCCCTGAATCCATCACCTCCTCCCTCCTTCCCTCTTTCTCTCACACTTGGGGCCCAGAGGCTCCCCTGACTCCAATCCCCAATCCCCCTCCAACAATGTCTACCTCTCTCACTCGAACTAGAGCTCTGAAATAATTCCTCCTGTTAATCTGGTAAGAATGTATGTTTGGAAAGTAACTGTTGAGATCATATGAAGCTTTAAAATGGTCCATGCCTCAGGGAACCCTGACATTCTGCTTGAGCACCTGGCTGACAGTCCTAAGTAAACAAAAGCTTCCCAAAGTAAGAGATTTTCTGAGCAAGGCTTATTAATAGAAACTTCAAGGCTAGAAAGTACATTCTCTCTAGCTTACAACTATACAGCAAAGTCATAATTGGTTATAGATGACAACAAAACAGGCCTTCCCTGCTGCATCAGCTTTTATTAGGGATGGGCTGACTTTCCCTGCCCCAAACTGCTCAGTAGTGATCACCTTCAGTGTGAGCTGTTCTGCTAGACCCATGCACTACTGATCTTATGCATGCTTGCAATCCAACAAGCAGCCCAGTGACCCTCTCACATAGTGAGCCTTCAGTAAACATTTAATGAATGCATACATTTTGAGATACATGTAAAACTGCCTACATGCACAGAGTATCGTACAAAACAGTCGGTACACTAAAAGCTGCATTAAGTAATGGTCAAACAAATAGCAAAATCCAAATTCAATAAAAGTTCTCCTTGGGCTAGGAAAAGACCCATAGGCGAGACTAAATAAAACTGCACAATTCCAACACCACAAAAGAACAAAGAGAAAATGATCAGCAGATCAGCACAATTCCCAAAACACTATCATTGCCTAAACAACCAGACAGCTACAGTAAGTGCATTTAATAACCACCTTAAAATAAAAATTCATCTGCTATGGACTGAACATTGGT